ACCGACAGACGAGACGGGTACACGGACGACACGGTCGTCAACTGATGGGACGATAGGCACCATCACGTTGACGGTTGATGGGAATGCGGCCGGTGCACTGCACATGCAACAACGAGGGTTGACTGCAGCGAAACACTCTGCGCCTGAGGTCCTGCGGCCACGACAGAAGGGCAGCAGCATCTAGACTAAATTGAGGAAACCCCTCCAACGTCTTCATCGCCAATGTTACCCCTTCATACCGCGACAGAATCAGATTCCCAAACTCTCGTGATATCGCATCCTTCTCGCATCACTTTTCGCATGCCGCGCCAACCCCCCAAACGGCCCCTGCTTAGGGGTCGTCTCTCCCCCGCTAACTTGCATGCCCGCCAATCGAAAAGACGCCGTTGCACTCAGTACATCCGCGGCACACACCGAATGCGAAACAGAGACTGACTGCCCCTCGATGCAAGATGCGAATTGTCGAGCTTGGGCCGCGCCTAGCCCGACTCGGTGCGCGGAGAACATCAGATAAGCATGTGGGATGTGGTTGCGATGGTTACCATCTCGGTCATGCGTGCGACAGGTACATTCTGGCTCGGCGGAGTCGAGGATTGATTACCTATATTACCTGCTTACACAGCAAGTCAGACGACCGGCGGGCGGATGCAGCAGCGCTCGCAGAAGCAACGCCGTGTGATTTGTGAGCAGACAGTCGAGCGGTATCGCGGACTTTGACCATGCCGAGCCCGACGACTTGCTGTGCGCCACATGGACCGAAAGGACGCTCTCCCTGGCTTTTGGGTCTTGGCATTGCTGCAAGCCACACAAATTAGGGATTTCCTCTCGACACCTCTTCGCCGCGCGCGCCTTTGGCAGTCGCCGGCTAGCAGCCACTCACAACCCACCAACGTCTGATACATGGGCTGTTGTTCCCTGCCGCAAGTCTGGAAAGAGTCACCATCATGGATCACCCATCGACAGGACGGCGACCATTGAACAAGACGAAATACCCGTTGAGAGCTTCGGCAGGCATGACATTTTTAAAGTCTCCACTCGCAGCGAAGATCAACGAAGCGTCTTGACTAGAGACATCGTCAATGTCCGTGGTCGCCGATAGACAGGACAGGCGCCCACCCGCCTGTTGCAACCATTGCCATCATCACCATTCTCGCGATTGATCCAGAGCTCATTCGCACTAACCAACGGCTCTCTTCCAAATACACTCGCATGGCCTGCAGGCCCTGCCCGTCACCGTATCATCTTGTCTCACCGCTCAACCCAAATACAGCAGTTGTCTGTGCAGATCCAACTGAGAGAGGCCGGTAGTACTCATCGTCATTGCGAAGGTCCAGCGCACTTGGCGGGCTTGGCAGTTTGACACCGTTTTGCCGCACATTACAGAATACACACACCGAACATGGCAGCCGGTCACGCTCGCGCGTACTCGCGTAACTTGAAGGTGACAGGGGCCTCGGCGGAAGTGTTTGCAGCAACCTCAGCCAGTGTCGTGCGTCGGGTGTGCGTTGGTCCCCGCTGATCTGAGCCAACGTGCCAACCCGGCAGCACACGAGATGGGAGACTGATTGAGCACTTGAGAAATCTGCCCCCTGTGGTATTTCACTTCAGCATCCACTTCGCCCAGAGCGTTTGCGGCTGCAATCGAGATTGTGAGCTTGCAAAACTAAGATTTGATGGAACGAGTCCGACATGCCATGTTGAGCGGACATTTTCCACTCCCTCTCCTCCCGAAGTGCCCCATTTTCCACCTCGGAACCTTGGGAGCGGGACCTGGGTTGGCGAGGCTCCCCGAAATGAGCCTCTCCTTTTTGCTGGAATCCTTCCAATTTTTTCACCGGGCCCTCGGGTCCGCCATCGACTGGAGCCTCCTCTTCGGCTGCGAGTTTGGGCAACCCTGTCTTGGATGATGGATCAACAAAAAAGAGTGTGAAAACACGCGTAGCCGCCGTCGCGCACAACCTCCGAGTGATCCGGGTGCCAAGACCCGCCAGTGACTCCGTGATACCGCAGCCGCTATAGGTGTTCCGTAGGTACCTTGGTTGGTCTGCCCACGAGAGAGATTCAGTCCCTCTCGGTCGGTGAGAATAAGCTTACACTCACGAGTCGCCATCTCAGCCCAGTGATTAGCGACCCTCCTGCCGTCTCTCATGGCCCGGCTATTCGCTGCTGTCGTCTCACATCATCCATGCGTCTCGCACGTTCCCATAGCGAGTCCATCCGGCCAACCAAGCGGGATGCTGCTCGTGAAATGTGACATTCTCATGCAAAACACAATTTGCCATGCTCACGGTCCTTTGCCTTTGATTGTGGCATGAACCAGACAGCGACGTGGCTCCTGTGGCCGAACTGCCGCCCAGGGTTTCTCTTTCCCAAGCGGCTCTTATTGGTTTCCATGCGCATGAAGCTGTGACAACCCTTCCTGGCCATTTGGGTTGTCTACCGCAGTGGTGTCTGCCTCGCGACTGGCATGTGCCTGCCGTGCGCGCGAGAGACACTTGCCAGGATGGGAGGGGGCACGATGGTTCACCGCACGACAGGATCAGCCCCGTTCCAGAGTGTGGTTCGACGGGCCTCAACGCCAGAGATGGGAGTCGTCCGAGGTTGCGCGAATACCTTATTTCCGACTCAGCCGCCTGTTCGTCCCCCTGAGTCGGTACTTTCTACCACACTCCCACCCGGGCCCGTGCCGGCATTCGGCGTTAGACGGAGCCGACTTGCTGTAGTAATCACGGGCTAGTCTCGCGGAAAGACCGGCCGAACAAAGGAAGCCCAGGTCCTCGGTGGCCTGCAACAGCACCGAGATTCCACCGCTAAGCTCTTTCTGTAATGCCTTCGGCGCCGTAATGGAGTTTTGCTTACTGTCGTCCTCGACGTCAAGAAGGTTCATGGACGGCATTCATCAGTCTTGGCAGCCAAAGCAACATGGCCTTTCCATGTTTCCACCTGCCCCCCCCCCCTCCTCGACCTCTCTACATTGGACAAAGTGTTTCAAGTCACCCGAACGGGAGCATCCGGTCGGGCACGTTCTGTCCTCATTGGAAGGGGACCTGAGCTGAACACCCGCTGATCACTTCTGGCTATGGACCTGCCTCGTGGGAGATCCTTGGTGAAGGGGGCGCGCACGCATAATGACTCTGCAGCAGAAAGTATGTTTTGCCCGTGCTGTCATACCTGTCTTGGCGGGAGGTTTAATCCTCTGGCCAGGGCCTGGATATGGTTTACTCAACGTCTGGAAGTTCAGAGCAATTTTTTTAATTTCTTGTTCTGCTGTTTTATTTATACATTTGCCTTTGTTCTGTAATGTTCTGGAGACTGGCGAGAGAGTTCATCCACGTTGGAGTGGTGGGAGAGATGGCCACACCTTCCATCTTCTTATATATTGCCCCCTCGGGATACACGGCACGACCTCTGTGGAATGATGTGTGATTTAAGCTATTAGAGCTCTGGTGAAAAGCGTAAAGCTCAATGCTCTGCGTGCTTCAGCAATTCTCTGGGGAACGGGCTCTACTTTGAGTCTAAAGAGAGGGAAGCTTGGCCATTTAGCAGGCCCGCTTGGCTACTTGGACTCCTTGGCGCCAATGCTGTAGTTGAGATGAAGAACGTCTACCCGCCGTACCCGCCTGGCGTGAGGCTGTTCGCATGACAGTAGTCTCCTTCTGGGGGAGGCAAAACCACAGAGGACAAGACGGTGGTTGGCGGGTTCGATCACGCGGGGGTGGGAAGCTGTGACCATGTAGCCAGATGGCATGAACTGCTATGATGTTTCTAGCCGACGGCGATGGAAGTTTGACAGAGCTCTGCGTGCTAGTTGGTCCTTGTTGTTGGTCGGGAAGGGTGTCCGGGGAGTCTTCTCCGTTGGTGGGAGAGGGGGGCGAATGGCGAATGGCGATTTTGGAGATGGAATTTCGAGGAATTGGGTATTATAGCTTGGGAGGGATGAGCTTAGCTGAGCTGATTTCCTTCTTTGGTCGTTGGTGGAACACGTGCCTAGGGAGGCGACTTGGTTTGCCAAGACCGTCTTCGTGATGCCGGGCAATGCTAATGCAATCTTGCTCGTCTCTGAAGCTGTCTGAGGTTTGTGAAGCCTTCGTGAGTATTTTTCTTGGGCAAACTTGGTCGATAGCGGTCCTGAGACTGCATTGTTGTAGAAGAGATGACCTGAGGCAAAACTTGATCCGGGGTCGCAGGAGTGAAATGAAGATGGGAGGCGATCTGAAGCTGGCATTGAGGCGGTATACATCCCGCCACGGACACTGGCAATATTACCCAAAAGAGATGTTCCCAATCACGACAGTCTTCACTTTGCCGCCTCGCACAGATGGCCAAATCTCCAAATCGCCATTCCGAGCCATCAGAAACTCCCCAAACGGCATCTCGAAATACCGCATAAACCCACGCCACGTCCGTGTCGTCTCTGGCACAAGCTTTCAAACAGTTCTGAACATTGCAAGAGCCAAATCCCACTCAAGCTTGAGCCTCTGAGCGGTCCCACGAGCCTCAGTGTATCACTAATTCAGGAACCCCTCAGGGCCCGCGCCGCATTTGCCGGATCAGGATTTACGAAGGTGGTTGTACGGCATGGCTGCAGGTCGGTCGCGCGCGTGACCGGTCGGGGGACCCAATCATCGGGGCCGCGGTGGAGAAGAAAGTCTCCGGAGCGGTGGTGATGTTACGTCGCCGGGACGCGGGTCTGCGGCGCGGATGCGGGCCGGGGGGTGTGTGAAACCGCGTGATGAGGCTTTTTCTCCCGAACGGTAGATCTTTCAGGGGATGGAACATCAGGTGGTGAGAGTCTATCTTTTTGGATCAGGTACGGTGCGGTCGACCTGCCTGATGGAGTTAGGATGTTGAATGAGGCTGTTCAGAGGTATCTTGGTTATTGCTTGGGATTGATATAAATGTGTTTGTGACAGTCATGATGAATGAAATGTTGAAAGCTGTTTTCCCTCAATTGACCCCCTTGATTCTGAAGTAAGTTTAGAAAAGAGGAAAGGTACAAAATGGATCGCAAACCACCCCAACCGCTTCAGCCAATGCTATCGGCGGACGAGATTGTCCCCCTGATCAAACGGTTTATCGCAGAGCAATCCTCTATCCGCGACACCCTCGTAAAGGCCATTTCGCCCTCTGAAGCGTGCTACCAGAACATCATTGCGCCAATTCAAGCCGTCGAAGATGCAATCCAGGGAGAGGCAGGCGTTTACGCCATGCTGCGCTACTCGGGCCCTGACGAGCTCACCCGCCAAGCAGTCCAAGAGGCGCAGGAAATCTGGTCGGCAGCTGGCGGAGAGAATTCCAAGCGAAAAGACGTATACGAGCTTGTCCAAGCCGTCAAAGACAAGAACGAGGATCTGGGGTACGAGGAGCGGAAGGTGTTGGAGGATACGTGGTCGAGCTTTCGGCGTGCCGGGCATGGAGCACTTGTTGAAGAGCAGATCAAGACGTACCTCAGCCGACGGGAGAGAATTGAAGAGCTGAAGAGGGATTTTCAGAACAATTTGAGCGGGAAGGGGACGGGTTTGTGGTTTGAGAAAGATGAGTTGGAGGGTGTTCCGGCACAGGAGATGGCAAGGTGGAAGGAAGAAGACGGGAAGATGTTTGTGCCATTGGAAAGGGGGGATAATGAAGCTGTCCAACGATATGCTGATAACCCTGAGACGAGGAAGAGGATGTTTGCTGCATACGATGTCAGGCTGGGTGAGAATGTCCCCATTTACAAGGAGATGATCATTCTCAGGGACGAGAACGCGAGAATGCTGGGGTACAAGAACCACGCGGACTTTCGAATCAGGGAGAGAACTGCACCGTCGACGGAGTGGGTGGATGACTTTCTGAACAAGTTGATCAAGGATTTGATGCCGAAAGGGAAGACGGAGATGGAACGGCTTGAAGCAAAGAAGAGGTCCCATCTCGGTGTAGAGGAGGCGGAGATTCTGCCATGGGACTACCAATACTACACCCGACTGCTGGAGGAAGAAGCCAACGTCGAGCACGAGTTGATATCGGAGTACTTCCCCTTGCGGCACACTCTGTCGTCGATGCTGGGACTGTTCAACCAGTTCCTTGGGCTGGAGTTCGTGCCTGTGCCGGAAGAGGACTTGGTTGGGAAGCTTTGGGCTGAGAATATCGAAGTCTGGGGCGTTTGGGAGGGAAGAGGTGAGAAAAAAGGCGAGTTTGTGGGATATCTGTACGCTGATATCATCTGGAGGAAGGGAAAGTATCGTGGGAACTGCAATGTCAACTTGCAATGTGTGAGTTATTTCGAGATCACATCGAAATGAATGCTAACAAGTTACAGAGCTACGTCAAAGAAGATGGGACTAGAGTCTATCCCGCCACAATCCTCATGTGCGCCTTCCAACCACCGTCAGCAGCATCTTGTGCCCTTCTCAAACACCAACAAGTCGTCACACTCTTCCACGGTATGTACTCCTTGACCACTCCTTCAACGCTTTCTGACATCCAACAGAACTGGGCCATGCCCTCCACGACCTGATCTGCCGAACGAAGTACACCCGCTTCCACGGCACCCGCGTCAAGCCCGACTTTGGCGAGGCCCCCAGCACCATGCTCGAGAACTGGTGTTGGATGCCGGATGAGCTGGTCAAGATGAGCCGGCATTACACCCGCGTTGACCCAGCCTATGCGGCCAAGTGGAGGGAAGACCACAATGATGCCGAGCTGCCTCCTGAGAAGATTGACGAGAAGCTTGTGGAGCGATTGGTCGAGAGCCGGAGCTTGAATCGTGCCCTGTGGTTTTTGAGGCAGATGTGAGTCGTGAATTCTGAAATTCGCGAGTGCAGGGGGCTAATTGTGGCAGACTGTTTGCCAAGTTCGACATGGATGTCAACAACCAGAAGTCTACTGACGCAGTGAGGGAGTTGGATGAGGTCAAGCTTTACAACGACCTCAAGGAGACTCTTACCATGACCAAGAACCCCGAAAAGAAGAGTGTCGGATACGTTCAGTCGAACCATCTCATCACGCTCTACGACGCGGGGTATTTCTCGTATCTCAGGCAAGTTACCCCTGACACTCCCCCAAGCAGCTGCAGCTAACGATGTCTCTGCAGCGCGCACGCTTTCGCGGCAGACTTCTTCGAATCCAACTTTGCTAAGGACCCGCGGGATCCCGAGGCTTGGGACCGCTACCGTCACGGGATCCTAGAGTACGGGGCAAGCAAGCAGGAGATGGACTTCATGACCGAGTTTCTTGGTCGTGAGCCTGGGCCGGGTGCTCTTCTTAGGAGTCTTGGGCTGTCCAAGTCCTGAAAATCCTGCCAGGCTGACGAGCGTGGCAGTTTCTTGCCTCCTTGACAATTGAGAAGACCAAAAAGTTTTATTGTATTGTCATGTCGCGGGTGTCATCATAGAACTGAGTTGCTTGTGTGAATGCTACATCCAGAGGGGTAATGTCGAGTGAATGAGCCCATGGAGTCTAAGTTTCCCTTCGACCTAGTCAATAGAGTTCCGTCTGACAAGGTAGTTATATTGGGATGTCCAACCCAAATGTATTCAACCTCAACACGTAAGAGGACACTAGCGAGCCTCGGTGTGCATCTCCGTTGACTTGAGTCTCCTTCTCAACAGCTAGTTTGCTCAAGTTCTCAGTTCTTGGGTAGACACATTCCTAAGGTCGTCTTCAGCATAGCTTGCCGCCACGCCGCAGCCGTTGTCTCGTGGTTTGGGGGAGGAGCATGAACGCATCCTTACGCATCCAGGGCAGACAGAAAAGCATCTCGCTGAGTTACGTTGACCGTTGCAGCACATCCCAACCACACGATCCCAGTCCGAGTCAGACAAGACCGAATTTTGCATTCTTCATGTCATTATAGGGCTTTCCATCCGAGTCCTGTTGTTGATATGTGCTATAGGAATCCGCCCAAACATCAAAAACGAAAAGAAATGGGGGTGCCGCGAGACGCCCACCCCTCGTCCAACGAAGGAGCCAGTCCGCGGACATCAACCCAAGGTATCTTGTTTTCCTTCTCTTTTCTCAACCCTCTCCATCAAGCTCTCTGGGCATGGGGCCCTGCCCAGAGAGCATCGTGGAATCGAGGAGCCGAACTCAGGGCCATTCCATCTTCGCGTGGCCGCCCTGCGCGAGCGCCTCGCATGTGCATGAACGTCCGGCACGTATTCCCTATGCCGGGGTGAAGTCTTGGGCGGGTATCGAGAACTGGATACTCCCATAGAGAGCGACCCGTTTTGACATCCTCATCAGGAGCATTGGCTTTCACATTTAGTCCTACACCGCCTCGAGACTATCGCCGCAGTGCGGGACCGCTCCACAATCCCTTGCTTGTCTCAACGACCTTGTTCTGCTCACTGCCTGGACGCAGACTTGCGGGCACGCTGGTCGGTGTCGGTCCCGCATCTGTCATGACAACGTCGTTCTGGTTGTCCGCCTCGGGCTGGGTGCCGTAGCCCGAATCCTTGTGATTTGTGTTGCCCATGCTGATGGCACTGTCGTCCTTCTTCGCGTTCGGTGGGGACTTTAGCCCACGATCGGGCTCGCGGGATTTGGCGCCATCCATAAGGTTCTGTTGGCCCTCGCGCAGCTTGTTGATTGCGCGAACCGTGTCAATGGCAGCATGCAATGTCCGGCGGGCGTTGAAGTTCTTCTTGACGGTGGGCAGCAGGTTCTGGCCCTCGCCCTCGCCGTTGAGGTAGCCCGCAACGAAGGGGTGTTGCAGAGCCTCGTGCGCGGTCATGCGCTTCTTCGGGTCGATGGTCAGACACTTGCGGATGAAGTCCTTGGCGTGCTCGGAGACGCCGCGCCAGTAGTCGAAGGGGGTGAAGCTGTAGTCAGCGTTCAGGATGGCTTGCATCTCCTCGAAATCGCTGTCGCGGTCGAAGGGTGTGTATCCACAGAGGAGGAAGTATGTGATGACGCCGAGAGCCCAGACGTCTACGGGCTTGCCGTGGCCAATCTTCTTGAAGATCTCGGGGGCCATGTAGCCAGGAGTACCGCACGTCGTCGTCAACACGTGGAACTGCTCCTCATCCATAATACGACTCAGTCCAAAGTCGGCAATCAAGAGGTCGGCGTTATCTTCTGGCGTGCGGAAAAGCAGGTTCTCGGGCTTCAGGTCTCGGTGGACGATACCGTGGTCGTGGAGGTAAGCAACAGCGGAGAGGGTGGCGCGGATGAGGTCTGCGGCGTCGGACTCGTAGTAAGAGCCTTTTCGGCAAATACGATCGAACAGCTCACCGCCGAGGGCCAGATCGGTGACAAGGTAGAGGTTGTTCATCGTCTCGAAATAGTCGACGAGGGTGAGAATGTTTTGGTGGCCCATGGAGACCTTTTTCAGGACTGCGATCTCGTTGCGGACCTGCAGAGCATGTTAGTCGGGCGGACGACTCAGAGTACGCGGATCGGCGAACCATGTGTTCTCTACCGGCCATCAATCGCTTGTTGATGACTTTGGCGGCATAGTAGCGACCGGTGTCGATGTGGACGCACTCCTTGACGACGGAATACGAGCCGGCACCGAGCGTCTTGCCGACCTTGTACCTGCAGGGCTGGACCTGAGGCTTGTCAGAGCCGTTCGTTGCCATTGTCGCGATTGTCTGTAGGGTATCGAGACGCAAGGTGAGGCCGCGAGGAAGCCCTGCGGTCGAGGGCTGTCGGGGACGTGGTGGGTTGAAAGGTCGGTCGGGGGTCGCGAGATCAAATTGTTGGCGGGGTAAGCGCGGTCGGTGTTGGGGTCGCCTCGACTGCAGCTAGCGGTAGTTCGGTCTTTGGGTCGTCGGTCAGTCCTTTGTTTACGGGGAGCTGCAATGCTGGGGCAGGCTTTGAGCGTTCGCTTCGAGGTTGTGCTTCAAAGGCCGAGGTTGTGGTTTGTTGGAGGTTGCAGGAAGCAAACAGCGGCTGACGGGGCGGGCAAGGCGAGAAGAGAAGTTGTGTGCTCGTTCTGCTTGGGCAGTTGGGCTGATGATCGACGGTTCCCGGCAGCGGCACTGCAGTGTTGACTTCCCCTTCAGAGGGTCTCGCGGGGCTAATTTGAGCCAGGGATAATTGCGACCAGAGATAGATGAAGGGGGTGATGCGCTGTCACTATGACGCTATGTCGCAGATCAATCTGATGAGGTCTTCTAGCACGCGATGCGCAGCAGATGCAGACTCGATGGATGGAAAGCAGCAGCAAACGATGGCGAGAAAGCGGAAAAAGGCACAGCAGAAGAAGAGGAGGAGGATTCGACCTGAATTAGACGGCACGGGAAACAGACGAACGAGTGGACTCGTGTGTAGCACTAAGAAAATCCCGTGGGACTAGGGAGCTTAGCGGTGCCAGCTGGAGACATAAGGGACTCGGGGTCCCGCAGCTCGCCCCGGAGAGTGAGACAGGTCGCTGGTGGTCCCCAGCTGGAAGCCGTTTTGGCCACTACCTTGGGATTGTCACCTCCCGACTCCCCCCCGCCGGACCTGACATGTGCCTCTATCAATCTGTCCTCCTTTTACTCGCGGTATATCTCCTCGAGCCAACGCAAACAGAGACGCGTCTACGATGGAGGTTGGCGGTGACAGCCGCCTGAGGGTGGAAGCGGCCCGGGCCCAGCCAGGAGTCCCAGGTCACAGCGAGATATGGCACCCGACATCACTCCCGGGGCGAGCACGGGGGTTCCCCACCACTGCTGCTACTGGCCCGGCATGGATTTTGACGCAGCCCCCAACTGCCTCCTTGTTTGTTCTCTGCCGTCTTTCAGCCGCGTCCTATCATCTCTGCTATAGGAAAGAATATCTCGGCTGTATTCTGGTTGTTTTGAATGGCACGATGGTTGATGGATACTTGTGAAAGCAGACGCTGAAGGCATCTCGGCATTCCCAGCTATCGGAGACATGGTCGTGCTTTCCACATAGTACATTTACCTGGTACACACATCTTACAACTTCGTTGAGCCCCTGTCGCATTACGCGATGGAGTTCACCTATTTGCATCAGTCAGTTCCCCAGCCCAACAGCATCAACTCATTTCCCGCGAGCCCACGGCGCAGTCCGTCTCCCTAAACATGGGAACTAACAAACCAGACTCGCAGACGGCAATCCCGATTCTGTACCTCCCCATAACCTGATTCAAAAGTTCAGGGTCCAAGCCTGACCCCTCTGGCTTGCCGCCTGGCTGGTCCTTAGCTTGGCTAGGCCTGACCCCACCCGCGACGATGGGATGTTTGCGTGTCTCAGCCAACCATCGCAAGGCGAACTGAAAGTTTGAGCACGTGTCGTGACTCAGGGCGGCTGTCTTTCCAAATTCCCTGGCGGTGGCTAGAGCCGCATGGTGGTACTTTAATCGAAGGACGCCCGACGGTTCTGCTTCTTGGAGCTCAGGTGCTTCTTTTGCTTCAGCCGTCCTTCGTTGAAAGATTTGGCACTGCGGGGATGTCAGCAGTTGATGCGGTGAAACGTGACATGTCAGCCCACATTTCTGCGTGTTTCTTCTTCTTTTCATTGCTCGTCTCTCCCGGCACTGTTTCGCGGTATATCCTTTGCACCTCGGCGATGAGCTTTTGCTGGTTTTCATCCGAGTTGGCGGACCTCTGACGATGCTCCTGAGCCTGGAACGTCAAGGAGTCTGACCTTGCCGTGTAGTACTTGGACTCTCTGATGCCCCGATGCAGCAGTTTTGGCAGCATTGGAAGGAGGTCTTTGACGGGCCAAGCAGTGATTGCTTTGCTCTCAGTTCTGGTCGGCGTTAGTAAATGGCCCATACCTTGTCACCATGCCCAGCAACCCATGCAAGCGTGAATAAACCTACTTGTTGACATGTTGCCCTCCAGGACCGCTTGAACGCGCGTAACTTGTTTGGCCTTGGGGTAGTTGGCTTCCGTCAAAAGTCTTGTGCCACGATCTCGCCTGCTTTAGTTCTTCCGGGTCGAAAGACTCTTCAAAGGCCTGAAACCTTGCCCAACGGATGGCATGTATGGGCTGGAAAAGAGGTCTGAAGACGGAGGGCCGTATGGGCTGGATGAGGCTGGCTATTGTCGTCATGATGTTTGCGAAGTCGAGGTTTTCACGAACACCATGGGCTACTTGGGCACGAAGCCGCTTCTATCCAATATGCTGTGTATTAAAGTGAAGAGTCGGTTGACCAATCACAGGCAAACAGAAGTGCCAAAAAGAGTGATGAATGCCGTCCTGCTGGTTTTCGTTGACAATCAATGTCGGTGGAGCTTGGTGATGAGCGAGAGCTGAGCCGTGCGTTTCGTCATCTTGCACCGTAACACACACGGCCTCTCGTTCGGGAATAGTGGCATCCGCCTACCACATACAGTTAGCGCCGTTTGTGGTTCTGAACCGTTTTCCCGAGGTGACATTGGTCGACTCTGCAGCGACAGATCGGCCAGGCCAGGCCCAACCCAAGGGCAAGCACAAGCACAAGCACAAGCAGCCTTGTGGTTGCACTTGCAGTGAGTGAGTGGCAGACGGGAGCGACCTGGTGCGCGGGAAACGGGAAAGAGCTTGGGCTGCCTGCCTGCCTCCGCTCCGCTGCCTGCCACCCACCTTTTACCATGCCCTGCACCTATCACTGGTAGGTAGGCAGCCCAGCGGCAGCCCAGCCCACCTACCGACTTCTTCAGATTTTTTTTTCCCACGCGGCCTCGTACCTTAATTTTGCTTAACCTTTTTTCCCACCACCGCAACACCCGTTGGCTGTTTTTCCAAGCTACATACAACCTGCGGCTACCGCTTTCCGAACCTCTCGGTGCCCACGGTTCTCAAGGTCCAACGCCAACGATCTCTCCCTCTACTCTCACTCATCTCCCAGCCTGACCGACAATCTATCTACCCCTTCCGCCCTGGACACTAAGCTTTTCGAAGAAATTTGGTAAATTGCCTGCCATCCTTGGGAGAGCTGCCGATAGTTCTTTTTCTTTCGTCCGCGCATCGGAGACTCCCCCGTGTCTGCAATCTCTTCTACTATTTCCGCCTGCTGCTCCCCCGCCTTCGTTTCCATTCCCCCTCTGGAAACCCCCCAAACCAATCAATCAACCGTGCTTGCCTGCCTTGCGCACATGACGACACAGCCGCGGCTCGACTAAAATCAGAGAAAACGAGGCGTCCGGTCGCCTTGTCGTCAATTCTTTTTGACATAAAGCCCATCTTCTGATCCACTCCAACTTCCATCTCCCACCCCTCCGGACTCCCAGACTCTGCTGAGCTTTGCCAATTCCGCCAGCCTCGTCCACCGGGCCCAGCGAGCACACAGCTGTCGAGCCACCCATCGTCACTCCCGCACGCGACCGCCAGCAACTTGATGCCCGAGCCAGAAGCCATTCCGGAGTTCCAGGCTACTGCCGCCGACCTCTCGCCTCTTTCTCCATCCCCTCTGCACTCCGCCGCTCCCGCCGTTGTGCCTGTCCTCCAGGATACTGCTGACATCCTCGATGCAATGTCCACCCAAACTAACGCAATCGCCCAAGGCGGCCTGAACGCAGTCGCTCCCGGGTACAAGGCTGCGGCTGAAATCACAAACGGCACCGCCAGCCATGACGCTGCTGCCGACGCCAACGCCAACGACCAGGACGACGACGACGACAGCCTCAACGCCTATGGAGAGGAAGAAGAGACGAGCGCGGACAAGGTGCAGGAGCAACAAGTGGAGCAAGATGCCGAGGATGAATACCTCAAGTACCTCGACTCTCAGGTCGAGGAAGGCGCTGAACAGGATGATGTATCAAAGGCACCAGAATCCATGCACAATTCCGCCGCGTCTGATTCCTTGACAACCCATCAAGTGGTTCCTCCGCCCGTCGCTGATCCGTCCTCGGCCCGCCCTGCCGTCACCCAGGAGTCAAGCCCATCAGCTACCGCCACCTCGCGCGATGCCCACGTCGAGGATGACCCCGCCATTGAGATCTCTCAACTGCTCACTGAGATGACCGGCCAGGCCAGCGATGCCAACGATCAAAGCCCGGCTGGCTCCGCCAATGCCTCTGCCACTGCTCAGAACCATGAAGCCCAACCCGCCTCAAGCTTGTCATCGTCCGCCGCTGCCGCCACCCTTCCTCCAAGACCTCCAATGCCCACCCAGGCATCTGTCATCTACTCCAATCAGAACCCCCATCCATCCAGTGCGGCCGCTCCGTACGTAGCCGCGGGTGCACCCGGCACCACGCCCGTCCAAATGACTGCGCCGCCGTACTCCAATCACCCTGACACTAATGACCGCAAGTCGCACTATGACCAGTTCCTCGAGGTCGAGCGCTCCTACATGGCGGAGGCCAAGTGGGATAAGTTTCCAGATGGCTCACGCATCTTTATTGGTTCGCGCTCTCTCTCATCAGGCCGACCTGACGGCGCCATTGACTTCTTTTCAGGCAATCTGTCGAGCGAACGTGTCTCCAAACGCGACGTATTTGAAATCTTTTGCAAATACGGCCAGCTCGCCCAGATCTCCCTCAAGAGTGCCTATGGCTTCGTCCAGTATCACAACCTGGAGGATGCCCAAGCTGCTATGAACAACCTCCAGGGCATCGAGATCAAGGGACGCAAGATCCGTAAGTGTTTCCCGACGAAACGGTTGTGAGGCAGAGCTAACCTTCATTCATCAGACCTTGAGTATTCGAAAGTACAAAAGAGTAAGGGCGGCAATGAGCGCAATCGTTCACCCGACCGCGGCGGCCGTGGTGGTCGACAAGCGGGCCGTCAAGACCGGCATGAGGGAGGCCACAACGATCGACGTCGGGACGACTACAGACCTGGTCGCAACGCATCTCCTCGCCGGAACGGCCATGCTAGAGGCGACAGCTACGGCAGAGATAGTCACGGCCGGGACCGCTACTACGACGACCGTGCTCGAGGCCGCTCCAGATCCCCCCAGAGCCACGGCCGCAACGATAATTACCGCTGGCGCGAGCCCAGCCCGCCCAAGGCGTATGAACGGCCTGGTGGAGAGCTTGACCTCCCTCGCCGCTACGGCAATGAGGTCCCGGACGTCCAAATTCTTCTTCTCCAAGAGCTTGCCAACGAATTCGTCGCATGGGTTCAGCATCCCTTCACCGAAAAGGGTCTTAGAGTTGCTGTCATGTTCTTCAACCCCAGATTTCCTCGCGAGGCGCTCATCTCACGACTGGCTGCGGAGGGTGTCCACGGCGTCGTCGACCTCGACATGCAAGCTCACAACTACGGAAGGATTCCCTTAAGAGTTTTCAAGCAAGCCCCTGGTGGCCAAGCCATGTTCGAAGACTATGACAACATTGAGCCCAAAATCGCGGCAGAGCTCGTCCTCAGGCAAAAGGCCAGTGCAGCCCCGCCATACCAGCCTCCCCCTCAGCAGCCCTACCCGGGTTACGGCGGTCAACCTTACGGGGGCCAGCCTCCTGCCCATGCGCCCGCCTACCCTCCCCAGGGACAGCGCATCCCGCCTCAAGCTGTTCCTCAGGCCCCAGCCGTTAACCAGGCCGACATTGCAAACATCATGAGCGGCGTCGACAACACCACCCTGCAGCAGCTGCTGGCGCATTTTGGGGCGCAAGGAGGTGCGAATGGCGGACCTGCGGCCGCGCAGATTCAGGCAATGCTTGGCGGTCTTCAAGCCGCACCTGCACCCGCGCCTCAGCCTGCTTCGTACGGCGGCCAGGCTTACGCCGTCAACGGTGCTGCAAATGGCCATGCAAACGGTCATCCTCCTTCCGCACCCGCCGGCGGCGACCAGGCCGCGCAGGTTGAGAATATCATGGCCCAGCTGGCTAAGTACCGACGGTGAAAGTGAAAAGGCGCGCATTGTGGAGTTTGACGAAGATATGATGGGTGGGGCTCTGTATGTTTAAAAGAGGCGTTCGGACTACAAAGACTACGGGCGGAAAGTGACTATAGATTCAAGCAGTGGGGGGCTTTTGTAGCCTTCGATTTATCATTAAAGTACCGCGCTCTCTTCACCTTGACTGGGCACCAGGAATATCGCGGTTGAAAACCGATGATGTGGTGACACGAAGATGTATTTTTTATGATTACCACAACAGTGGTCTCAGCTCAACTCAACAAAGACAAGAAATCATATCGTAACTCATGTCGGTCGTCTTTTTCCCGCCAGGTATCTGTAGCCAAGTCACAGAATTCTTATAGCTTCTCAGCAGGCTTATTGAGGAATGCTGTGCACTCAATCTCAACATCAGTGCCGAGGGGGAGCTGGTAGACAGCAACGCAGGTACGGGCCTTTATCGATGTCAGAAATGCTCACCCCGGGATCGAAAATGGGACGACAACTCACAGGCTTGGGGTCAAAGGTGAAGAACTCGTCGTACGCCTCGTTCATGGTCGCGAAGTCGGCCATCTTGGTGATGTAGACGTTGACCTTGACAACATTGCGCAGGCTGCTGCCGGACGCCTCGAGGACGGCGGAGAGGTTCTTGAGGGCTTGGCGCTGGGTTGGGCGTCAGCTTGGATTCGGCTCAAAGGATTGACCATTGCTCTTAAGATGAGGGATTATGATGAGATTGGGGGGAGATAAGACGTACAGTGCGGTCCTTGACGGTTCCCTCGGCCTGGACCATGCCGGGCTTGTCGGGCAGGATGCCAATGTTGCCGGAGCAGTAGACCATACCGTTGTACTTGATGGCCTGGGAGAACTGGGGTAGGGGAGCCGGGGCGGCGGTGGTGAGGACCTTTTCGATTTGAGCCATTGTTGCGGTGTTTTTGGGTTGAATTTGTGGTGAGTCGGGATGAGCGCACCGCGATTATTACTGAGACTTTATAAAGAGATGGATTAGACGGTGGTTTGTAAGATTTAGATGTTGTGAGCTGAGGTTGAGAGATGATAAATCATTAGCACTTCGGCGCGGGGTCGGAGGCAGAGTGGGGCACCGGCCGCGGCGGTGGCTGGGCGATAGGCCCGGCAGGGAGTGAAGGGCGTAACTGATGGCTTTTGAACACAACAGGGACGTTTTTGCTGGAAGTATCTCAATTTGTGCGTACATTAATGGCGTCTGCTGTTTCTACGACTTCTGAGACTCTTCAATACTAAATACACTGCTTGGTCACGTACAACTATCTGTATGCAAACATTTCACTCTGGCCAAAAGCGCGGTTGTCTCCATGAGCTCAAGCGTGTTGAACACAAACTCTCCGGGACTGCCCATATCTCGATACTCAACCCGATCGGCCTCTCGGAAGTTGTCCTGGTATAAGAGCACTAAACAAAGCCGGGCAGCGTACCTTGTCTTTCCGACTTCAGCGGGGCAGTTGGCCGCGGAGTGAAGAAATGTGGAGCATCCGCTGTAAGCCGAAGCCGGCATTGTGCTATCTCTGCGGCATGTCTTGCGCCTCTAATTTTTGAGAGGCCCTCCATGTATACACTATACTAATATTGTACCGAAGTATCAGTTCCTAAGCGCAGAGTAACAAGAAATGCAGAGCATATCCATACTGATACTGTTTGGGACCATGTTCTACCTACCCTCTAACAATGTACATGACTTCCTATGAAGAACTTCACTTAATCCGAGATCGCAATATTATTTCCACACTCAGCCTTCCGAGTCGAGTAGCCATTTCCAATGGGGTTTCGCCGTCTGAACCCGGTATCGTAGGATAGGCGCCCCTATCCAGCAGTAGGCAAACGACTTGATTCAGACGGCTTGATGGTCGTGAGCCTATAGCTCCTAGGAGGGGCGTACATCCGTGTCTGTCGGACATGTTCGGGTCAGCCCCAAGCTCCAGAAGCCAACTGATGAGAACGGGTACATGTGCTTTTGCTGCATCCACCAGCAAAGTCGGCACAAAATCGCGTCCTCGGAGTGAAACGCCGTCTTCAACTTCTGATATGAGCCGTTTGGTTTCTTCGTTGAATTTCAGCCGCAAGATTAGTTCGAGGAATGTATTCCCTGTGTTGTCTTCATGCATGAGATTTGTACCAGCACTTAATAGTAAGTTTGTCAAACTTATGGCATGCTGGTGGGTTTGATCGATGTCGAACAAGGCGGTCCGACCTATGCTGTCGATGTCATTTGGGTCCGCATTGAAATCAAGTAATACTTGCACTAGAGCCGGGTCTCCCCTGTGGACAGCAAGATGAAGGGCGGTTGGGCCTTTCCAATCTCCATATCGAGCACTCGCACCCTTCTCCAGGAGCATCCTGACGATGGTGGGTTGACCGGTGAGTACGGACAGGTAAAGAGGGCTGATGAAGCAACAAAATTGATTTATGTCAACTCCATTGTCGAGAATCTTCTGGGTGTAAACTTCATCCCTGGACACGATTGCTCCTAGTAAATAGCAGAGAAGCTGGTGATCTCGGTCGCAATGAAACTGACTCGCCTTGACCTCAAAGACGACCTTCCAATTGTCTATAGCGTACTTGAGATAAGTGAGATCCCGATTGTCTCTGCAATGTCTAATGACGGTTGGATTGTCGACAAGAACTCTGATCGCTTCTCTGGCTGTGGACGTGATAGGTTGGTGCAAAATGTCATTGACATTAGCCCCCATGTACAGCAGAAATTCGACTATGTGCTGCCTGTCGAGTTTAATCGCGTACTCCAGAGGACGAAATTTAAGGTTTTGGTCAACCAGATTGATATTCGCGCCCCCTTTAACAAGAAGCTCGACAATGTTCATTCTGTCAAGTTGAATAGCGTAATGTAGAGGAGATTGAACGTGGCTGATCAGATTGACGTCTGCACCTCTCTCGATCAGAAGCTCGACGATGTTCACCTTATCAACTTCAATGGCGTAGTGTAAAGGAGGCTTCCAACTGCAGCGGGCCAGATTGACGTCGGCACCTTTCTCAATCAGAAGCTCGACCATACGTCCATGATTAGCTTCGATGGCATAGTGTAAAGGAGGCATGGAAATGTGGTTGACAAGATTGACATCAGCGCCTGCCTCGATCAGAAGCTCGGCGATATCTCCTTGATCACCTTTAATGGCTTGGTGCAAAGGAGGCGTGTGCTGGCCGCTAGCCAGATTGACGTCTGCACCTCTCTCGATCAGAAGCTTGACGATATCATACTTGCCATCATCAACAGCGTGGTGTAAAGGAGATCTGAAACGGCCGGAGCCAACCAGATTAACATCCGCGCCTCCATCAATCAGAAGCTTCACCAAGGTTTCGCCCTCTTGAATAGCCATATTCAAAGGCGTCTCCGAGTATGTGGAGACGGCATTGGGGTCGATACCGTTTTCCAGCAGTAATCTGGCTGTTGCAACTTGTTTATTATTACAAGCCCTGAACAACGCATTTTCACCGTTGATATTCCTCTGGTTAACATATGCCTCTTGGCGTTGGCAAGCATGTCTCCAGTCTCCTTCAGCAGGTGTTGCTGAGGACAAGCGCGAGTGCCGCACATCCTGATGTTGTTTTGTAGAGAAGTGCCTTGAAAGAAGAAGCCTGGTAATGTGGAAGTTCGTTCCGGCAGCTTTCAAAAGCAAGGGATTTTGATATCTGTCTTTCGTGTTTGGATTGACCCCCGCATCAAGCAACAGCTCTACAATGCCGGTATGCTGTTTCTCTACAGCTGTCATGAGAACGCTTTCCATCTGCTGAGGCGATTCTGACACATTTTCTGACACAACATGACGCATCCAAGCTTCTACCGTACTTGTGTGGCCCAAGTGAACGGCTGCATGGAGAGGCGACGAGAACCGCTGGGACGAGATCAGAGTCGGGTTCCGTGTTTCATTCTGACGAAGTGGCACGTCTGTCTGACGAAGTAGCATGTCGACAAGTGATGGCAAGCCAAGCTCCGCGAAAATGTACAGGGCAGTTGTTGAGATGTTGTATCGTCGTGTTTTGAATTGCTCAAGTAGGTTGTGGAGCCGAATCCAGTCTAGTAGTTGAAACTTTCGAAAGAATGAGTCCTGGGGAAGTCTCATCCGTTCCACAGCATCGCAATGATATAGAACGTGTTTCGTGGAGTAATCGAGGAATGGGAACCTCCGAGTAGCGTCTAACTTGAGGCTCTTTGCCAAATCGGTGCTAGTATCTAGAAAGAAGTCGTCGTCCGAAATGTACGGATAATAATCATAGACTCCCATATAGGCATGGCAGCAATCCCTGAGTCGTTCATGGCTTCTGCCCTCAGGGTTATCCCCAAGTTCCGGCCACAAAGACTTGAGGCCGTCTTCCTTGAGAAGGAAATCCCGTACCGATTCGTGGATGAACTGAACTGTCGATTTCTTTGATTTCGTTGTTTCAGCAAGCCCCTTCGAGGAACTGACCACGTAGTGATTCAAGGAATCTCTCGAGATTTTCTCTCGATTCCACCTGCAAAGGCTGTCAGGATCAACGCCAGCCACCAGTGCGAAATAATACTCTTCGGGCTTCAGAGGGCGCTTGCCGAAGAGTAACCACTGTATACACAACAGCAGCTCTCCCATGTTCTTCTCATCTCTCATCAATATGTTTTTGAACAGATTGCTCAATTCTGGAGGTATCTGTTGAAGTCTCTTTTTCACTGCAAAAATACGACCATCTTGAAATTCCTGGTTGAGAATGTCGATGACCAACACTACCCACATAAAGACCCCGGACGCTTTCCGGAGTATCTCTTTCGTGAGCTCATCCGCCTGCTTTTTTGTCTCAGTTCTAAGCTTGCTTCGTACGTACTTTTCCAGGTCCTGCTCATGGCCTGATTGATTTTCTAAGGTGAATCGGACACCGTAGACAACGTCCATACGGGGGTAATGGCGACTAGAGAAGCAAACGTAGAACCTGATGTTATTTTGAACAGCACATTGTCCTAAGTCTTCAAAAAAGTCCAGTAGTTGTCGGACTTCGCTTTCGTCACACTCGTCGAGAGCGTCAATGAAGCATGTGACTTGTCGTTGGTCGAGCTTTGATATTGCAGTCGCAAAGAGTCTTCGCAATGCAGAAAGATCCCAAGAGCCCGAGTCTTTTCGAAGGAACGTTCCACGATCTCCATCACCCAATACCTCCTGTAGCTCAGGAACTTTCTCCAATAGTTGAAGCAGAAGAGATCTGTGCATTCCTTCTGTCGATTTCTCAAGCAACCCTCCTCTAGCGTTGAAGAAGAAGGATATCGTGGCAGAATCTTTCGCTGCCTTCTGCCCTGCACGCGAGTAGGCATATTTCATAAGCGTAGATTTCCCTGCTCCTGGCTTTCCCCGAATCCAAAGGATGCCATGGTGATTGGCGAATTCTTTGTCATCTAGCCAGCGAATGTAGTCAGGATGCTTCAGCAGCCATTGACATGTTTTGGTATGAGCAGATTTGATGGTTGAATGTCGACTGTCGATTTCTTCAAATCTCAAGGTTTCAATGAAATCATTCCGACTATTTACTAGCGACGTTTCGTCTACATCAACGTCAGTATTCGGTCATAATTGATATGATTGGAAAAATACTAACGAGAGGATACTATATCGTCATCCGTCATGGAGTCCTCGTGGATTTCTTCGGACGCAATGACAAAAAGGAGCTCCTTTGCATAGGCTGCTGCGGTCACCGCAGCATACTCTTGCCATTGCTTGGCCTTGTGTGAGTCTGAATAATCACAGATCCCCCTAATGACCAGGCATGGAAAGCTGTCCATCAGGCCGGCTGCTTCCATCTCGAAACAGAGAACATCAAGCTCATGTGCGAGACGATGCCGCGTCTGCCCATGTTTCATGACCTGATTTGCGGATGCAATAATACCGTAGTGAATCTTTGGGTAGTTGTTGGGCCTCGGGTCCCGTCTCACCAGCTGTGACGAATCGCAGTCGTCGCAGCTCTCCCCAACATGATCGTACGTGGGTTCGTAAAGTCGGTCCTGACCGGCCCCGCGATACGTGTACGCATCCATTGAAGGATTGCGCTCTCTAATTGTAGCGAGATGTTCTGATATCCGACTAGGACCCAGCTGATGGTCGGCTCGCAACTTGGCGACTGCCGTCAGAAGTTGTTGCGGAGGCTTATTCAACGCCCCCGAAAGTTGAAAACGGCCTGCTTTCACAGTTTTCCCAAAGTCGTACTGTATAACGCCTGAAGATGACGCAGTTGGGTTGCTAACTACGACATCGCCAAGTCGGATGTCAACTTGATCAGGCACACCGCCACCAATGCCGACCATGAGTCGAATCTGTATCGAGGGAAAGCTCCATCGCATGTTGTTTGCCACCAAAGCTGCGCTGGTGATGCCGTACTGCCCTGATGGTAGGCATGCGATAACAATATTGTGGTTTCCTATACTGCCAAAGGCATAGACGTTGCTATCATTTGGGTTCATCGGTAGAGACTGGTGCATGTCGTCGAGCATCACTCGCGCAGCGGCCATCTCGATTGGGAGAGCCGCGACCCATCCGACAGTATACGCATCATGCGACAACCTTTTTAGAAGCCGAGTTGCAGGATGACTATCCCTATGGCCAGAGTCGTTCAACCTAGCCCTCTTCCTTGATGTATGGTTTAGATCATCGTCCGCAATGGCTGAGTCCCACGTTCGCCTCCCTTGGTGGGAGATGGTCGTTTTGAAGACATGCGTCGTGCGTATGTTGCCATCATGATGGATATCGTGTGCCGCCATTCTTCGAAAGACGGAATGCGAATCGAAGGAGCTTAACGTAGCCTTGTCCCCTCGACGGGCTGCGGACGATAGACATGCTCAGAGGGAGATGGGGAACATGTTTTCCGGTATAGCGACAAGGAGTGAAAGTAACAGTGACGTCGTTGAGCTGTTTGGAGAGGCAGTTGTCAATCGGAGACGGGCGAGGTGGTAGTCGGGTGCTGAAGACAGACAAGAGTTGAAATGGGCGGAGTGTTGTGAGCTCGCCGCAGCGACGCCTCGGGTATATTTCATTTGCTACTGTTGCACACTGCCTCCACCCAACGTGATCAACGGGGCGCTTACTGCGTTGTCTTGCTTGCCATGCTTCCTGTGATTGGAGCTGGATCAGCCCCGACATGCAGGCTCTGCGGCGCAGCGCCCACCTACACTACGGATTTCCCTCCTTCGTGACCAGAAGTCGTCAGTTTGCGAAGACTCAGCGTTCGCATTCTATGCCTCGCTTCTCCGTGATCCTCTGGCTGGTTCTTCTGGAAACGCATGTCGCCAAACAACGTCGGTGGAAATATCCTCTGCCAATGGTACCACATCAACGCCGTCACAATGGTTACTGGAATGGCGACAACCCAGTACACCCAAAACTTGTCAGACATGAGCCACTCGCCTGAGCCGGAGTCAAACTCGAAGAAAGTAGTGCTGAAGACAGCAGAGACGAAAGTGGCTGGAAGGAACAGTAAGGTAAGAAAGGCGACCGTCTTCATGGCCTCGCTGTCTCGTTGCGCCGCGCGGCCAATATCGACCGAGACTCCAGAATCGAATTGAGCGACCATGTTGAATGCAAGCGCAATCTCGTTGAGAAGACGCGCCTTGGTCGAGGCGGACCTCTCTTGCAGACTGCTCAGCATATCCTCGAAGAACAGCAGGCGACCATTGGCGTGGTTCCAGGCCCTCTTCCAGGCAGCATCAGGCTTCGCCCCGCTCCAGTCTGCCTTAATGGTCCCGTGTTGCACCAAAATCTGCCTGGCAGCCTTCACAGCTAATTCTAATGTCTCGGAAACATGAATGGCATGCCGGGCAGTCTCGTGCAAATGCCGGTAGTCGGGGGCCGGTTTTGGCTTTGTCGGGCCGTCCCTCTCCTTTTCTGTGTTCCTCACGGTATCGCGCACCGACCAGACGGCGGCGTCTTGCAGGGTGACGACTTTCTCCAAGATGCGAGTATATATCCAGTATGGCGTTATGTAGTTGTGTTCATCTGGGATCACGAATAAAGGATCCGGCTCGCCAACCGGCACGCGCTGAACGCAGCTTGCTGTGGGCGGATGAAGGTCGAAAACAATGAGAATTGTTTGTTGTGTTTTTGGGATCCAACGCGTGAAGATGTTCAGTTTGAACCACTCGTAGCCTGGATGGTATTTGTTTGTCAATTTGATGGGAAACCGTGCCCATGTATCTGATATATATTAGCTTCTTGAAACCGTGGCAGCCTGGCAACGTACTCAACCCGGTCTCTTCACCCTCATCGTCAACAGTCACCTCGTGGCCAAAGTAGGCGTTGGCACCTTTGCAATATCCTTTCCACCACAGATCTGGTATCTCAAATATTGAAGAAAACTGCTTGCGGCAGTTTTGACATTGGCGAATTTTAAGGGCCTGGGCCTCACTGGATGAACGTTAGCAGAGAGAATCGTTGATGATCACCGCACGCACATAATGCAGACATCAAAGTCAGCCGTTGGCAGTATTTGTCCTTCCTGTGATGATTCACGTCTGGATTCTGTCCATTTTTCCCCGTCCCCTAATGCTCATGTTAGCCTGAATATAAGCATATATCTACGGTTGCGTACCTTTCTTCCAGCATGAGAATTTCAGCTCATGGCAATTTGCGCAGGTTTTGTGATCCATGATAACTTACTTCGGGACCAAGAAGATGACTTGAATGTGTTGAAACAGGGCTACGAAAAGACGAGAACAACGGCATGTAAATCATCCTGAAGATCAGGCTTTAGTGAGGGGACGGCAAGTCTGCCCCATGATGCTGCATGACCATGCCGCAGTTAGTGGACCAGGGCGACAAAAGCCAATCACATTGAGTGACGCTGTCGCACTGGTTGAATGTGTCGTTTGCCTTATCGCCCGAGAGTGACCCGTGACATCGTCGCACAAGAAACGATGCTCGTGTTTCCATTTTGATCGTCGATGAGTCTTTCGAGATGCAGTCGTAGTCGTTCATTACGAAGGCTGGCCTCTGTAAGGAGACTTAAATCGGGGAAACGAACGAGAGGAGATAGGGAGTATGAGACCACGAGATCACAAAGGTGAGTCGCGACGCAAATCTCAATCAAAATGACAGGCGGAATATGCAGCATCAAGACATTGTCGTCTGCAGAGAAGAAATAAAGTGGAAGAATGACGATTGGTCGGTGCCCAGAGGAGGGTTCCTCCAACTCGACTACAACGCAGGGTTCTCGCGGGATGCTTGGGGCAACCTCCACTACGAAACGGGGTCGATGGGGGATAGCTCAGGGGTCATGTCGCTAGCTTCGATCCCACAAACCAATCAAAGGCCCCCGTTTTCAAGCAGGCAATCACGGCTGGTTGACGCGAGCGCTGAAGGGCGCGCCTCCGGGAAGCTTGTGCCGCCGGGACCTGAGCAAAAGAAGCCAGCTGTAAGGAACCAGCACTCGTACCTGTGTATGATCCTCGTACCCCCGCGCCCTGGATACGTGGAATGTGAACCTTCGCAACTCCAATCCTTTGATTAACAATCCACTTCGGTCCGAGCTTGCGGATAACCTCCATTCTTTTAAAGGCCAGTCTCCTTGTCACCCATGCGGTCCTGAGTACAAACCCCAGCTCGATCTCTTTATCCATCTTCCCCATCGCCGTCCGTGAGATCCGCCGAGATCGACAATGGGTTGGCCGTACAAATTTCTCGACCTATCCCGCGAGGAGGTCCAGCTGAGGCGGCAGACATTGGACCGGTACGGCACTTATGCTCAGTTCTCGGCTTTGACGCCCATCATCCTGGCTCTCCTGCTTCGTTTATTCGTCTATCTCAAACAGCGGGTACAAGCGAGCGCCACCTACGATGCAGTCCCGGACTCTCCAGATCTGAAAGCCAGGAGGCAAAGCTGGGTGGGCAATCTGGATGCGAATGTGAGGAAAGTGAAGTGGTGGCTGAACGATGATGTCTACTTCATGGGACAACATTGGGGTCAGAAGGACCAATGGGTGTTTGGGGTGGCTTGGTTCGCATGGCTGCTTGTTCTGTCTACCTTGGAGACGGGTGAGGGTAAGTGGCAATTCCTGCTAGTCGTCATTGAGAGACTCAATGGGTTTGAAGAAGTTTGTTGATGATTTGGTCATTTTGCCATGTCAATTGGACGTACTGACGCCTCCCAGACTATCTCCACATCACGAAACGCTTCGGCATCGTTGCCGTGTCACAGATTCCATTCCAGTATCTGCTGGCTTTGAAGAGCTTCAGTCCTATCGCCAAAGTCTTTCGCACTTCCCACGAGGAGCTCAACAAATGGCATCGAGTATTGTCTCGAGTGACATTGTCACTTCTCGTCCTCCACGCTCTGTTTTACCTCAACTTCTTTGTCGCCAAGGGCATCGTGGCCCGCCGCCTCTTCGCTCCAGTGGTCTTCGCCGGTGTCGTCGCCTTTGCAGCCATGAACATGATGACCTCGACCGCGACTGTCGCTATTCGCAAGTATTCCTACCGGATCTTCTTCATCACCCATTTGATCGGAGCGTTCGCCATCCCACCACTGGTCTTCTTCCATGCCAAATCCTCTCGGCTGTTCATGGCCAAAGCCATCATCGTATTCCTCATTGACCTCGTTGTACGTCGTCTGCGCACCGTCATGGCCTTTTCCAAGCTGGAGACTATCCCTGGGACCAACTTGGTCAAGATCTCAGCTTCAATTCCCCAGTTCAAGGTCAACGCTTTCCGTAGCCGGCCGGGGTCCCACATCTACCTCAGTATCCCCGCAGCCGCGAGACCCGGTGGTGGTCACTCGTCTTCGGAAGCTCTGCTCTACGAGTTCCTCTTCAACCCCTTTACCGTGGCTTCTGTTGACGAGGAGACCGGCGACTTGACCCTCGTCGCTCGCCAGCTCAACGGCCCGTTGACCCAGCACCTTGGCTACTTTGCAAACGCGGGAGGCGGCAGCGACGGGAAGATCCCACTTTGCATTGAAGGCCCCTACGGCGCCGCATCTATCCATTTTGACAAACTCATCGGCTCAACCGTCGATCGTGTCTTGTTGGTGGCTGGCGGCGTGGGAGCCACCTTTACCGTGCCCATCTACCAGGCCATCCTCCAGGATAACCCGAGTGCCAAGGTCGAGATGGTCTGGGCCGTCCGGGGAGCCGGTGACGCAACTTGGGCCATGACCACCGACAAGTCGCCCAAGAGCCTGCTTGAGGATAGCAACGTCCAGATCTTCTTGACGGGCGACTCCCTCAACTCCGCTACCACGGGCCCCATGGCCGGTGTACCCGCCGAGACCAATGCAGACGGCGAGATGGAGATGAACCCCATGTACCGTGACCGCACGCGAAATCTCTTTACAGCGGACCACAACCGCAAGCGCCCCAACCTGAGGAATATTGTCGACGACTTCTTCAGGCAAGGTGCGGAGGAGAGGGTGGCCGTGCTCGTGTGCGGGCCCACGGAGATGGGCAGGGAGATGCGGGAATACGTCGGAGCATGGGTCATGAGGGGCCGCGAAGTGGTGTGGCACAATGAGGCCTTTGGATGGTGACCTGCATGTTTGTGCTTTTTCTGCGGGCTGAAGATTTGAACAGTTTCACATATACATTGGAGGTCTGGGGCTGGCGTATACATAATTTGGACTGCTTAGATATAAAAGTAACACATGTTCACACTTTTCGAATTGCACAATCAACATCAAATCCATGGCACATATTTCAAGAAGCACCATCAGAAAACTAGGTGATTTTTCTCTATGACGAAACACGCTACTAGGGTGAAGCCTTCCAAACGCCAGATCGTAACTCCGTGGTCATCCATCATACATCAGTCTCCCTGTGCTCGTGGAGTATGCACTATTCAGCCCGCTTCTTGGACTCGCCAATGTCTCCAGAGTCAATGTCCTTGCCCTTGACTCCGCCGATGTCACCGTCGGCATCGTCTTCGTCCCAATCGTCCACCTGATTCTCGTCCCAGTTGTCCACCTCTTGTTCAAGCGTCCGTCCGCTGCTGCCACCCACGTCGCCGCCGTCCCTCGCACCACTCGACTCGATGACGCCCGTCTCGTGGCCCTCGCCGAGCTCAACGTCCTCATCATCCTCCCCAGGAACGGGTGCGTACGTCTTGGTGCGGCGTTTACGTTCGAGCATACGCTTGTGGTACCATGAGCATAGCCCTATGCTCGCCAGGGATCCCACAACGTTGGCAACAATATCGTAAAAGTCGAACTCACGGCCGTTGGGGAGGAAGCCCTGCAGGAACTCGGAGCCAACTCCGAGGACGAACGTGCAGACGGTCAAGGTAAGGTTGAGGGTACGGCGGCGGTTGGTGTCGAGGATCCAGTAGAAGACGAGCGTCAGGAGGAAGAATGTTGCAAAGTGCAGGACCTTGTCGTTTACATATTGGCCCAGCTGGAGGGAGGTGAGGCCTGCGTAGCCAGCGACGAGGAGGAGGGCGAAGAAGACGCCTGCAGCAGACCAGTGTTAGCTAAGAATATCCCTGGCAGACATGGGGAACTCGATTCGGATCTGCGAGATGGATGGATCCTACCCAGATGGAGGGCTAGATCCAGGGCCAGCTGAAGCTTTTGACGCACCTGCAAAGGGCAAGCGTATCCGCATTTCGAAGGGACCTGCGGCTCTTGCAGGGTGTGGTTTGATTGGATGGGATGCAGTGTATGTAGCGGTCGAAGTGTGCGTTGTGCGTGGGTTGACTCAGTAAGGGTAGCAGTAGCTTAGCTACTAGGTGTCATGATGGGACGGGATGATCGAAGTGGTTGCTCAAGGCAAGAGAGAGAGCACGGCGAGACAGTGCAGGTAAGGTAATGAGGAAAGGGTATTCGTAATGGGGTTCGTCACAGACGAGGGTGTGATGTGTGTCCAGCTGGCCGGAGCTTCCAGACGACTGGATCGGGAGGGAGAGAGAGGTGCTGCCAGGTACTGGATTGGATTGCTGCGGGAACGAGCACCACCTCCTCCATCCACTGGCATCGGGCAGAACTCAGCCCACTGACGAAAGAAGATGTGCACCACAAGCTGTTGGCGGGCGGGACCTGCTGGACGCCCCAGGCTGCGAGGGACGAGGACAGGGGTATGCCCCCGAGGTTTTTTTGGGGTCGGTACTAGGTGGCCCGGGCGGATTATCCCGTGGGCCTTGGAGGGCATGGAGAGAAGCGCGAGTCGCGATGTCTCGTCTGGGAGGACGCGTGGTGGCCTCTTTTGATATGGCGGATGGTGAAATGTCAAGGTGCAGCGGAATGAGGGTGTCGCATCAGCGGTGGTGGATTATCAAAGTGGTCGCTGAAGCGTACCGGACTGGCCCTTGCAGTCAGCACGCATCACCAGCCCGCGCAGCATTACAGAGCCTGCCGCAAGCCAAACTATGCTGTTCACTTGCTGGGCTCATTGCGCACAGCGACGGGTTGGTCATACATCACGTGACGACATCATACGCGATCCGATCGCTGGGGATCCAAGGGGGAAGGGGAGTGCGGTGGCCTGGTCGCCTCGCGCCGTCGTCGGCACTCGAGGTTCCTGTACCTGCAGTCGGCGACCGCGACACTCAACATGACCCCAGTGCACGTCTTTTCTGGGTCCGAAAAATAGATGAAAGTGGTGATGAGCAGTAAAAGAAGCCTCTCTGTAATTTTGGGATTGATGCGACAGTGCGGGTGGCAGCC